TAAGTCACGTTCTATATCATAATCATGAAGCTCGTAGCAATCTAGTAATTCTTTAACACAAGTTTAACAGAATATAAATATAATTTCACCTTCTTAAATCTGTCCATTATCATTCGTCTCACCTAAGCATATATGATATGTTTTAAAGTACAGCTAATGCTGATAAACTAGACTATTCTGTCATTAGTCAACAACGACAATGTCCCCAGTAATTTTTTCTAGAGGATTTTAACTTACGACCTCATTTGACGACGACAGGTGAACAAATATAATAACTTGGTGAAAGGCGGTCACCTCCATATCTAACTCTTGATGGTCAGCAAGTTAAAAATCAATAGTTCCACAAAGGCTTGTAGACTAGGGATGTGGTTAGAGAAATACTAGACTTTGAAAAACAACATCAAGGCAACTCTCTTTTGATTTCAACATATATCTCAATTTGCAAGCTAAACTATTCTTAGTTTGTCCAGTGTTCTAGAAAAGAGCAGGTAGCATTGGCAACAATGACATTACTGAACAAAAAGAATAAGCAAATAAGCTACTTGTACACCCATTGTTTACACCTTCGTTGACGAATGATGAGGTGGCATGCAGTTTGGCCATTGATTTGATTCTTTACATTAGAAGAGCCTGCTCTATAACAAACTCAAGTCTCTCCATTTTGACAACAAATCAAGACAAGGACTAAACGAACTTGTTCAAGAAAATAACTCTGCTCCTGCATTGACAGAGGTAAGTCCAGAGGACAAGGGATGCTTCTGATTCTCGTAATAGCCATGCAGGCAATATGGAACAAAGCTCTAGATGAGTCAATGGATTACCACTACAATGAGCCATTAAATGCCACAAGCACGATATGAACTCAGAATGAAAATGTAAATCATGTCATCCATCTCCCGTCTTTTATTTTTAATTTTTCCTTCTCTTGTTCTGAGTAGTGTTAAGTCTCAAGGAGAGCAAACGATATTGAAGATATAATAATAGATGCATAAAATGAAATGTTTTAAAAACCGGACCGAGCATCGATCTGGAAAAGTGAAAAGGTCAACCGAGGTCGAACCAGTAGTTAAAGACAAATAAATAATAAGCAGATAGCCGTAACTATAAAAGATTAAAACAATCAACATTTTCCAATATGAGAATATATTATGTGTTAATGTGCAAGAGAGTCAACAAACCAAAAAAAACAGTAGGGAGAAATGGTATCGAAAGTGAGAAATGGTTCTCAGTTCCATATGGAAACTTGATGATATGGATGAGAGAGAGAAGGATTATACAAGGGATGCTTTGTGTGGAGAATAACTGCTTATTAAGCAGTGCGAGTGGACAAAGCTGTGGGTGTGTGGATTTGTTTTAAAAATTCATTCCGTAGTTCTTTTTAATTGTAAAAATTCGCCCCTAAAAACAGTACCCATTTTGCCAGTTTACGGTTGACCTGCCGGTTTGACAGTTTTTCAATATGCGGTTTTTGCTGGCTTACCGGCCCAGTTTAGGGGCAAGTTCCTGGTTTAAAAGGTCGAACCAGCTGGTCCGGGTCATTTTGGTAACATTGATAACATGTTTGTCCTCTTTGTAACAGCTTGAGCTTTTGAATAAGTCAAGGCTGCCCAACACGGTATTTGTCAAAAAAGAATCATGAATTCAAATTTCATTATCACCCGATTATGAATATTTCATGTGACATGTCTTTGATGAAAAATAAATATGGCATACAAGTGAAGGGGAGTGTTGAAGATATAATTATAATGAACCAATTTGTCCACTCTTTAACAATTCAAGCTTTTAGATGAGGTGACTCAACAAATGATTTGAGCTTTCTTTTTCTTGTCCTTCGTTAATAGGATATTGAAAAGATTAAGATGCCATGACCTACTTCCTTTCTGATGTCTTCTACAAATTGCCAAATCTAACTTAATTCCAATAAATCCCATGCATTAAAGTACAGCAGCAAGGTGCAGAGTTGATATGTTGCTTCCTATTTGGAGAATAATATGCCAGTATGCATGTATGTGTGTGTGTGTGTGTGTGTGTGTGTGTGTGTGTGAGTGTAACTGTTTTATCATAAGTTTGTATATTTATTTTACTTCAAAAACCAAAGAACTAGGACTCCTAGCTCCATATCCTTGAATCCTAGCTTTATTCGGCCTTGTATGGGAGGGATTAAAATCGGATTAAAATTGAAAACATAGCCGTTATTGTTGACTTTTATGAGACGGGTGGGATCCAATAACGACAATATTTTCAATTTTAATTGGATTTTAATCACTCCCGAACGGGGCCGAAATATCATAGAACAAAATTAGAAAATTGAAGAAAGTATACATGACACTTGTTGCCTAAAAATTCGTGCCAAGTCAAATGAAGATATTCAACTTATCAAATTATTGAACAATTGGACTCGCTTTTATAGAGGATTCCATTCCCTAAAATTGTTTAGAACTGACAACTCAATTTCATCATTGACTACATTTTAGAATAAGAGTATCATAGAATTCAAGGAAACATCCCTGGTTAATGAAATTCAGAGAGATTAAAAGAATACCTTTGGAGGTGGTTCATTTTCTCCTGTCATTATGTCTACAAGAGGGTAACCTTCCTTTCCATATAATCTATAACACCTTTTTTTACATGGAATAGAGACCTGAAATCAGAGCAAACCTCAGCATTTGAACTAAAATGCAATTCTAATGTTAAGATGTCGCGTGGATTGACGAACCTTTGAAACATCTTCAGACAGTTTGATGCGAGGCTGATTATTTATCTCGACTAACTTAAAAACAACACCAAGAGCAGGTTGAGCATAGCATGTAACCAAATGAGTTCCAATTCCAAATGCATCAACTTCATGACCCTGGGGCCCAGAAGAAGAGATACATGAATCCAGAGCAGCATAGTGAACATGAGTAGGAAATTGGAAATGAAAAATCAATATGAATCATGTAAAGAAGATTTATCAATCTTCCCAATGAAGAAGAATAAACTCACGGAAAATACTTCTTCTAAGTTGGCTTAGATTTGATCCATGAATTATAGTACTCACAACCATGAATGAAAAATTACTGGTGCATATAACAGACTACATATAGAAAAAAGATTTGACAAGAGAGGATAAGGCAAAAAAATTGGACCTGATATATGTAAGTGCATGTATTCATGTCACCAATTTGTATTTCCATTTAGTTGTTAATGGCCATATAGGTTACGGCAGATGGTAGCCACATCAAATTACCCGTGAGAAGTAAGGTTAGTAAAGTCTCCCCACAAACTAAAATAAATACAGTACTTTGTTTAAGTTACTGGACAACTTCAACTTCGGAAAAACAAAGTCAATGAAAGAAGCTCTACATATTTAATATAAGATTCTAAAAATGCTAATTCTGTATACAAAGTTTCACTCTTTTTTTGGTAAATCAAAAGAAACCCAAAAATGATGAAGAGCAAACATATTAATGGGTATATTTTCAACAAATTGAACATCTATGATCATTTTTGTTGGGTAATGGCATATGATCATTTTTGTTGGGTAATGGCAAGCAATTCACTTCGGTGGTAATGTTATATATACTTTAATAAAACTAGTAAAAGATAATGGGGGAAAATGGTATGTAGTTCTGCTACCAGAAGACAAGTTTATAGAGATAGCACATTTTCGCTTGTCCAACAAAAGGGTTAACAGTGGAAGTATCACAACCCTCTTGAAAATTACTATTCAATGCCTTTACCTGTTTGTTTAAAGCATCTATTGTTTCTTCATTGAGGTCATTACTAGCTGTGATGTTCAAGTTCCCAAAGTCAGGCACTTTGAATTCCTTCTCAATAGCCTGAAAGAATTTTCGGGTCTCGCTTGAAAGATAGGCAAGATCACCAGAGTCTAATCTAATACCTACTGCTTTGTACCTGAATAAGAATACATTTAGAAAAGATATCAAAAAGTAAGCCAAACAAATTTAAACTGATATCTGTGGAAGTGAAAATATGATTATCCAGACTAGTTATGAGGGTTCAGGTTATGTTTCAGGCATTAGGGATCAAGCTAGGTGGCTTGCTAACAGACAGCTTACTCAAAAGGTAAACTCCAACAGCATGAAAAAATAAAAAAAAATCCAATAACGACAACTTAAAAGATACAACCCACTTAGAGATGTTTCTAATAGCAAATCTAAGGAGAAGAAGAATTAAGCCAGAATACACTTCAACTCAGTAAAAAATCTGGAGTTGTTCCTTGCCACAATGACTATTCGATAGTTTTCAAGATCACAAGGTCTGTTCAATTATTACATTGTCATTCCACATTTTAAAATCACTCTTGCAGTTCTACCTTGAGCTCCTTCGAGTTGCTAAAGCTTCAACTTGACCATAAGCCCCTTCACACCAGATATCAGAAGTTGCGATTGGGAAAACTAAGATGCATTCTTGCCTTATCACCCCGTCTTCCATACTATCTTAATGATTGATAAGGATAATGCTGAACCCTTTCAATAAACTTCTACATCTAAATGCACCCATAAAATCTGGGGCATGTACTTTGTTAGGAAAGGAGGAGAAATATTGAAAGATTATCCCTTTCCTTTGTACACACCTTGTGTATAAATTTATTAATAAAGCAGGCATTTCCAAACCTGATTCATGATTTCCATTCTTTAATTTTTCCCCTTGTCAGTTCCATTAAAAGGTTCGAGGTCGTTTAGCCAATTTTCACCACTCCCAGGTCCTACTGTCTTAGAAGTCTTCAAAAAAATAGATGGCGTTTATTCAGGTTTCAATTACATGAGTTAAAAGGAAAATTGGGAGAGGCCATGGATGATTGTATTAATGAAAACAATGAAAGATTTGGCTTTATATCGCTGAAAAGTTGTTACAAAAATTTTTAACCAACTTATCTAAAAGCTTAAGCCCTTAGGCAGGGGCCACATTAATGTATTTAAAATGTGTCTTCAACACGGCCCCCCAAGAGTAGACCGGGCTCATTTTTTCACATCAAAGGCTTACCATGTCCATGATTTTATTGAGTGGTGCCCAGAATCGAACTCAGGTCTACTGTCGAGCTCTGATTCCATGTTAACCAGCTCATTCTAAAAGCTTATGCTCTTACATAAAGGCCACATTTATGTGGTTAGATTGTGTCTTTAATACTTTGTACCGTTCGCTAACAGTGAACTCATCCCACAAGAATGATGTAGATAAATCTTAGTTGAGTTCTGTTGGTTCAGCATTCGTCCGTCCACATCTCAATTTCAGATCATCTCTCAATCTAAGAAATAGAATGAATATAGATAGAACCTTATCAACACATAATCCAGCAGTGCATATGAATTGAATAGGCAAAATGAAAAGGACAAGAATGAGGAGGAAAAGCAGATGAGCTTTGCATGTGGATCAGAAAGATAGAGTTCTGTGCTTCTTGGGTTGTCAGGAGCACTCGTGCAATTCTAGTTTCTTAGAAACCTAGTGGAGTGAGAGAGGAGAATATTTGAGAACGACTAACGGCTCCAAAAATATTACTATATTTTCTGAGTCTATGGACAGGGTCAATACTTAATAAGGTGGAGATAGGTTATCTTCACAAAAAATAAAAAATAAAAAAATCCCACTTTTAAGATAGATAAGATCATCTCCACCACGCGAACACCAATGAAGGAACAAGTCTCTTGAGCGTACCCAAAATCATTTAGAGCCAGAGCAACTGCACAAAAATTAGGAATGCCACTTCTCATGACCTGTTAAGAGTATTAACAAAACCACATAAATGATAATACAAAGACCAGAATGAAGCAAAAATTGCACTGAAAGTAAACAGGAAGCGACATTTGCATGATGCCTGGAATTGTACGAAGCCTATGAAACATCTGGCTATCAATGCATTGGATATACATAGCCTCTATTGGAGCCTCATTGTCTAAAAACTCATTTTCAACCACACAATTTTCCAATAAAATAATTTTATACATAAACCCAAAACTTTTTTTCTACCTTTCAACTATACATATTCCAAAAAATTCACTGTTACAAAATCTATTTCCAAGAAAATGGGGCTCAAACAGATGTATAGTTAACCAAAATAAAGATATTCACATGGGTTCACAATGTATAAATGTCAGTTTCAAACATGTAATGCTTTATCTAGCAAGATGAACTTTACTTTCTAAAGGACAAAAAAAATACAAGGTTGGCATAATTGCTCCTATTAAAAAGAATCGAGAGTCAAACAGATATCGTGGTAAAAATAAAATGAACGAGTAACAAGATTTCAAACATGTTCAATAAATGATTCACTAATAATGAAAAGACCGCCAAGAAAATTATTGAGATAATCAGTCTACAATATTCTAACTACTTCCAAAGTTCCCAACTAATTAGTAAACATAGTTTCAAGAACTAACTCCAACGTTCTCAAACATTTATAGAATCACTATAGATGAGTGATTGTAATTCTCATTTCAATAGCTTACTCTCCCATTGACAAGTCTTTTCAATACTTGGAAGCGTTAAAAAGATGTGCCTATTGGTGAACCATTTTGTTACAGATAATATCAAAAAGTTCAATCACAGGGCTGTAAATACACAGTTCCAATAGGCAAAATGAAGTGTTCTATGCTAGACAGAAAAATCAAATGAGCTATGACAAAGTTGAATGAACTATTAAAAAGTTTTACTTACATCATATGTGTCTACAAGGGCCAAAAAGGCATTAGGAAAGGCAAGTGCATATGAGATGAAAGCAGCTAACTCACTTTGATTCGTTTCTCCAAATATTCCACCTAATAAATGTGACCGCTGAAACAGAGTGCAAAAATTTAATGAGCTGTTATTAGATATATGCATATTTAGATTACCCAATAAGTTAAAATATTTATATACAGATACACACATGCAAATATCACAGAATGACAAGAACATCTTCTGATATCATATAACATTACCAAGATAAAATATGTGAAGTTACATGCACGTTATAGCAGTGGATAGGGTAGACTTTTCAAATGGAATATGATAAAAGTACGAAAGAAGTCCACTGCTATAATGTGGATAATTGTCATAAAGAATCAATAAACAAACATGTCTTCTATGTGGATGCATTTACTTGGAATTGATTTCTGATCACAAGAACTCAAATCAGAGTCCATATGAAACTACAAGTACAGTATAAATTGCAAACAATATCATAGGCATCGAGTCTTTTTGATTCTTCAAAATTTGGAGGTGCAACTTCTCTGGATGTGTTCACCTTCTGAAGATGAATCCTTAGAGAAGACATGAAGACTGTGTTTGCAGTTTTAACAAGAGTTAATAAATGTTCAAGTGAATAAACTATATGTAGTAGAAGATTAAATGTTCTAAATGTCATTTTACCTAATGGTGATGTCTTATAGTCATATTATAGGCTCCCATCTATTGCAGAAAATTGAAGCAATTGGAAAGTATTCTTTGTTGTATTACTCAGAAAATTTGTACAGTATATAAAGAAAAGTAACCAGAAACCTGGCCTAATTTACAGCTGTACAGGGAAAGCCATTCAAGTAAATCTTAGGAATAATACAAAATATACATCGAGCAGGAGACAAATATCAACTTATGGAAATAAATTGACTAATCCTATTGAGGGAAAGAGTCATTATTTTTTTGATAGGAGGGAAAGAGTCATTATCAAATTGAAATATTACAATAGCTAGCCAGATAAAATGTTGACCTGAGGGTATCAACTTTATAGAAGTTATTCAGGGCCATTTAACCAGTGGCGGAGCCACACGGGATCATGTTGGGCCACTCACCCCACAAATTTTTATTTTTATTTTCCCAAAATTTAATTTTCATACTTCTCTTTTAGCGTACTGTAACTGCATGCCTTTTCCCCCCAAAGGCCCAAATCATCAAATGATTTCCCCATCCTCACCAATTGATTATTGACTATTGTGGTACTATGGAATTTGTTGTTGGAATATTGTGTTCACTGGAAATTGATTGTTGAAATAATGTAGTATATTATATATTGTGTTTTGATGGAATATTGGGACTTTGCCTATTGGAAATGATTGTGTTTTTATGGTTGGAATTGTTAATTGGGATAATTCATCGGAGATGTTGAAATATAAGCATTTGTTGAATTCGATGGTAAACAGTTATGGAGAGTTTTTAAACAAAAATCTCCACTTTCTAGTGAAGAGAAAAATATTAATGAAATGAGTGTTCAAGATAAAAGGAGTAAGTGATCAATGGTTGAATAATAGTTTCATCCTGTATATTGAGGACATATATTTGACAATATTAATAACAATAATATTATATAGCGTTTTCAAAGTATAAAAAAGCATAGGCAATGATTGTAGTAATGTATTAAAATATTTTTATTACTATTACCTTGTTTCAAAAATATTTTGCAACTTAAACTTTGCTCCTCTAATGAAAAAAGGCCTAACCTCTGAAATTTTTCCTCATTGCCCCCCACCCAAATAAAGAAATTGGAGTGGGGATTTAAAATTGGAAAAGTAATAGAAAGCTCGCCTTATTGAATATATTAAATGCAGGGATTTTATTTCTTTCAGATCTCTCATTGGTTATCGAAAGTTTTAATAAATCTAAAAAAAATTGAAAATATTAATTTATATTCTCCATATTAATATTTGCAAATAGATATAAATAATTTTTTTATTTATATGTACTTCCTAGTTGAAATGTTATAAAATTTACTATGGCACTAATGGAGCTAAGGAGAACTCTGACATAGTAATCAATACGGCAAGCGGCAACGAGGACAAGAAATATTTTGACTATTAATCAATACAACAATGTTTAATCAATATGGCAAGCAGCAACGAGGACAAGAAATATTTTGACTATCAATACAACAATATGTGCACTTTCACACCATTGTATTAAGTAAATGACTAAATTTGAATTACCTGACTCCAATGAAACAAAACAGCCACTGAAATGAGATTTTTAGGTAAGAAATGGTTACATTTACTGACCAAAGGACCTAGATCCACAACTCCCACAATATGCTTTTAATCATTTGAAGTGTTAAGATGGATGCTTATCAAGGAAGAAATGGGAAATGCAAATTGAAGGTCTAGCCAAAGCAGAAGTAAAAATTGAAAAGGGAAATGGTAACTGGAAATTGCAAACTGAAAAAAAAGGATTCAAACTTCGACACTTTAGGGATAGTAAATTTACTAGGTATCAATTTCACCAACAAATAGAGCATACAGAGGCAAAACATGATGAGAAAAGTCGATAAAATTATCGGTGTGTCGAAGATAAAACATATAGCAAAGCAGTAAAGCTGAGGGTGAAACTGACAACACCTTTAATTTGCTTAACCATAGTTGCACCGAACTAACAAAATCCTCACAAGCATTTGAGCCATCACAACTTTGAAGCGACTTGTCAATGATCTCATCTGGACTCTGCCAATTGCAGGATCAATTAAGATAATGGACAAAACCAGGAATGAACATAAAAATAGAGAAAGGGGAAATGGAAAATTAGTATATAAAACATTGACACTAGATGCCATGCAAAAGCCTGCTTGCTCACTACATCCTGCTTTTGCTACCAAAATGCAAGGGTGTGTAAATGTACTTGCAAAACATAAGAAACTCACTGACAAATTATTATTAATTGCAGAACAGCTAGTAAACACCGACTAACCCTCTACTTCATTCGAAGTGCAGATGGAACTTCAAGTAAAATGCCCAGATGAAGCAGAATAGGTTTGAAACATATTCAACCAGATAGCAGTCTCTAGATAAATAAAGAACTCAGACTCTTTCTCACCCAAGAAACTGATGCAGAAATAGAATGGCATTTCCTTATAATGAATGTCATTATAAAAATAAAGAACTTATATATCCAATGTAACAGTGCTTTGGTAAGTAAACAATTCTTGATTAAGAGCTTGTTTAGGAGAGATTTTATGAAAGGAAAAATAATTTTTTGGAGAATTTGTGGTTAAAAATAAGGAAAAGTTATGGGNGACTTCACTGCGGAAAGCTCCTCGCTACACAAGTCGCGGCACCGCATTCGTTCAGTCGGGTCGCCAAAGCAGCGGTGATGAAGGCTGACAAACCGGAACTGGAGTCTCATGAGGGATTTAGCAGTTCCGTGGCTGCATATTCAATCGATATAGAATGTGGTTGAAAATGGTTTTGGAGAAAATCTCTCCCAAATAAGCTCTAATACTGGAGCCAAAGAAAATGCACTGCTTCATCAGAATGACGCTCACAAGAATTGATTAATTGGTGGGAAAAAAAATTGAATGTAAATATGACCATGTGAACAGCAATACCTACCATAAATGAGCTGACAAAGGCATGTGAATGTGTTCCACGGAGTGGGATTCCAAATAATTTCCCAGCAGCGACATTGCTATCAGCACAAATGAGAGTGACTCGTTATGATCAACAGGAAAAAACTATAAAAAGGGCTCTGGTGTGATCAGAATTTTTATAACCAGGGGGTTTTCTCATTTGATTGGACAGTGAAGCAACCAAGAGAGAACCCAGTCACCTGAACATCCACGTTGCAAGTGTTTGGATGACTGGCCAGACCAAGTTGTGCCGAAAATAAATGATGCAAGTTTTGAACCCTCAGCTAATGCACAATATTACTATGTGGTTTCCAACTAGGCTATGCCATAGTTTTGGATTTATGATTCAAGTTTACTTTATACATTTCTGTCTTCCATGTTATTCTACAAATTATGAGATTTCTTCAAGTCCATGTCTTAAGAACAAAAATGGTTACCTAAAATGGAAAATGTACTCCGGTATTCTCAGAAACCAGTAATATTTATTTGTGTAGTATTTTCAAACAGAAATAGTTTTATTGAAAAGTATTTAACTAGATTCCTATAACATCTACTGATACATAACAAGATAGAAGAAAAATATAAATAGAAGAGACATTTGAAAGTTCACTGAAATCCTATGAGTAAAATTTATGAAACTTCAAAAACTTGAATGCGAGAACCTTAATTTTATATTATCACTAAACCTTTGCTTATGATTGCAATTAGCACTTCGTATCAGGTTCTTGTTGGGTTTTAAAGTGCAGCAGGTTGGTTGAGTAAGACATGAACATGACCTGCTTGAGAAACTGAATAGCACAGCACCAATGCTACATGCTAATAAGTGGATCGACAAATCACAATCTGCTAAATGTTTAACCCATTACTCGTGTAGGTTGACTTATTTACGATATGAACTGACATAAATGCCATGGCTTAATGAGTTAAAAAGTGAGTCAATCAGAATGTCAACATGACTGATTAATTTATTTGTTCACCAGGACCCAGCCAGACCCAGAAATGTCATTTATAGAATAAGTGAACAAGTTCTTTGACATGAACCCCCTTTTAGCCCAAACCAATAGATGCTATTTGTATATCGAGTTTGTGTTACGAAAGGGTTCGTTACGAGATTGACATGACTAACTCTGCTTATTATCCAATAGTTACGAAACAATGAAATGAACTGTGTAGATTCATGTTTTATTTTTCACATTCAAAACTGTAGGATCTCACTGAAGATGATATTAATCCAATATTAATAAACACATTATTCACGAATATATTGGTACCATTTATGACCAGTATTACTTATCCACGAAGCATTGAGAGGAAGCTGCTGAAACCAATATATGGGTCCATACCTATTTAAGATTTATTTATTATGTAAATTTGAATGATCCAACAGTTTGACCAGTTGACCAAGTTGATAACAGGTGAACCAACCACTAACAACCCCCTAATCAAGTTGATCTGCTGACTAGGTTCAATGGCTCTGGATACAGTAAGTTGTCCACAAGAAGCTCTAAATAGCTTGATAAAACTATCAAGCGATGCCCATCAGTGGAAATATTAGACTTAGAAACTACATTTTACTAAGAAAATAACCTTGTTGCGTCAAATCCACCCATGTAGCAGTACTTTGATGCCCCTATACCACCATCAGGGCCCTACAAGAATATGGGGCAAAAAATGTTTGAATGCTACATAACGAAGATGAGCAATTTTAAAAAGAAAACGAAAAAAGAAAAGGACAACAAGAAGTTAATAGTTATAGGACCTGTGCTCGTCGTAGCCCAAATTCAAGAAGAAGTTTGGACTTCCCAGCAACAAAACGATGCCTTGCAGCATTTGTAGCAACCAATGATGCATAATTTATCAGATTTATTAGTGGGGTTTCAAGCAGTTGAACCACCTTATAAGACAAGTACATCCATTAGTTATAAAAATTAAAACCAATAATGAGAAAAGGCAGAGAAACCAATTATATTGACAACATGTTCCCCATATATAATCATAAAAAGGAAAATGTTTAAAGGTACTCACAGCTATTGGCCCTTCGATCCTCATCAATGGTATCTTTGGAAATACAACAAATCCTTCAGATATAGCATGTATCTCCACATCAGAACAATCTGTTCCTCGAAGATAGTCATAGAATCCATCCTAATGTTTAACAATTACAGTTAGCAAACTCATGCATTACATAAAAGCATAGATAGGAAATAGCATGTGTGAAAAATGCAATTTACGAATGGCACCAGCAAGAACACAAGTATTGGCACTACCTCAAGTTTTGCTTGTTATAATATCAGCATGAATTTATTCCTAGCAAAGTAGAAGAGACCAAGACACCATTTTACTTTATATAATATGGTTGACAATTGAATTTCACTTAGAAAATTAAATTTCAACTTTTAATCACTTTTCTAGTGCCAGGAACAATTTTACCTGTTTGAAACAATAATCAATTTTCTGGATTATTCAATTATGAACTAATTGATTTATGTTAGTCAAATAGGTTAAGAAGTTTTTAAAAAATAAATTATATAAGTATCCTGATTAAATTAATCAAAACAATTAAACCAAATAGAACTGGAAGTCTGACTGGAAAAATGATAAGCTAGAAACTACATTTTGATCTTAAGTTAATGACGCATGACTTCAGTAAAAAAATTAAGATCAACCAGTCAATACAAAATTTGGTTATATGAAATTAAACAAGAAAAAAGGTGATCAAGCATTCTTTGTCCACTGTATTATATGCTGCAGTGTTGAAACTTATAACCTTTCAGGAAAATAAATATTCTTGCCTCATATTGAGTCACTGCTTAATATATTGCCTTAAGAATACAACATTTAGATGCACGTCTTGACATTATTTTACGAGTAAGCTTCTACACACAATTTTGCATTCACTCCACCAACAAACTGGCTATTTATTTGCAAACAAAACCATTGTGTCAGCGGTCTGATGGATTATCAAGTATTATCAGTAACCATCGCTGGCAACAATGAATTTAATAGCATGCTACAACAGTAATATTAACTGAAATTATACCTCACATGTCGGAGGCAAGGATGCTTTGATGAAAGCAATCTCATCCTCTGTAAATCTAAAGTTGGCAATTAATTTTATGCACTCTTCAAGACCAGCAAAAACAGTGAATTCACCACCAAAGGGGTTCTTTCGGAAATACAAATCAAACCTGAAAGCCAATAAATTGTCATTGAGAAGAATGTGTTGGAACATATAACACTACACGATCACTTTTGTGATAAAATATTTTGTGCTTTACATTTCCTTAACGCCAAAGTAATATAATTAGATAAACTGCAGTCGTATAGGGCAAGCAGTTAAATAGTATCTTGTAAATCGCGTAAAATGCTTTACAGAGAATAAATGACCATAAGCTGGAAATAGAATAAGTTCACTGGAAAGTTGTAAACTACAAGCAGAACAAAGCACCTTCCGATGTTGTCCCAAGGTCCAGAGAGAAATGTCAACGACTCGATTATATAACCTTAAGGCCCTTGAGTCCGATCCCCATCCCATAAAAAATGAATAATTATGTCTAGAACCAGTGGTGCTAGAGCACCAGTGTAAATAGACACAAGTTCAATTAAATGAACCATGTGACATTGTATTTAAGTGAATCTATCTTTTAATGTCATGCAGTTGCCACATAGACCGGTGGTAAATATCAGTGGCACTAAATATCATTACTATTAAAAAACAATGCACTAAATCTCCAAAACAACAAAAGAAGAACACTTGAAGACATATACAATCACGCTATCCTAAACTGAAAATTTTGAAGCCAGTGATGGGCTACAAAAATGAAAATCAGGCTTTCTTTTTTGTCTGGATCTGAAACCTAAGTGAGACAAAAGTACACCGATAATTTTATGAGAAACTCTTTTAAGAAATATCAGTTAGTACTCGTCGTGCTCACAATTTTATGGGGGTCAATCAAATTGTTCACAACTTATCCAAATATAATCCTTTTCTTTTCTCACCTTAAAAGGTATTTGCAACCTTGATATAGGAAAAACTCTTCGATTGAAAAGAAGATGACTATCTTCAACTGTGAACTACTTTCACAGCTAAGTCTGGCTAACTTTCCAAGATGTAAGAGTAAGATTTATACCATGATGAAATGCCTTTACAAATTTGAACCTAAGAAACAGAACTTTTCTCCAACTTTGGTTACAAAAAGAGACCCAATTAGTGGAATTCAATTTTTTATAAATAATCACGGAAGCAATTGAACAAGTTAGTTAAAAGAACAGTAAGCCTAATGCTCTAAGTATTTACAGAAAAATGAATTTTTAAACTACAATTATATGAAACTAGCTATCATGAAACAAATAATCAAAGTTAAAGACATGCACAAGTACATCGTTTTAGTGGTAAGTATGCCCAATTCACCAGGAAATGATTAAAGTGCTCAAACCTTTCTCTCAGACTGACTCAACAAGGCAACCATTTCTTTTCCGGAATTCACCAACATCATATGGATAAACTGATCGTCCAAAAATTTGGCAGTTCATTTCGAATATCAAAAATTAGTATAAAATCATTACCAGGAAAAATGAATATAAACAAATCAGCACTTAATTCCAAAGTTCCAACCAATCAACACAACAATAACAAACTTAAAAATCAATAAACGACATGAATCGATTAACAGGTAAGTTATTGAAAGAATTACACGGCACGCTCAGTGTGCTTGCCAGCTTTCCAGTAAGCATAGGCCATGGTAAACTGATAGAGATCCGTGAGCAAGGGTGTGACCATTGGATTAGTCGGCCCATCGATTCCTCCGGCAGTTTTCTCTTGTTTCTTTGGCCCATTAGCCACCGCCGCCTCCATTCTTATGAAGTCCACAAATTTCCTCTACCGTTTATTCTTATTGTTATGCTATATATAGTTCATACACTAGCCGAATGGAGAAAAGTTGTTGAATTATTTACTTGAATTTTAGAAGAAAACGCCAGACTGCAAAGAGACGAGGGGCAGGGGGTGGTGTTCAAATAGTCCGAGCGTTGAATTGTCCAGATAGTCACTAAACTTACGTTCATCTCTTCAATTGCTCAATAAAATTTGAGACGTGAAGTTTCAATCATTAAACTTCGGAAAACGTAGGACGTTAAAATCTCTAACGGAATTGATGACCTAGCCGATGGAATGTACACGTGTGGCGTCTAGTCATGTCGTTAAAATTTGATATGGTCGAAGTTTGGTCACTAAATTTTGGAAAATGCTCCCATTACTCACTAAATTGAAAAATATTTTCTACTGTTCACTGAACTTTAAGGTGGTCGAATTTTGATCGATACTGAGATGGTCGAATTTTGGCTACTAAACTATAAAAAAAAACTTTATATTGCTCACTAAACTGTGAAAAAGTCTTCTATTGCTCACTAAACTTTGAGATGATCGAATTTTGTCCACTAAATTTTGAAAAACGTCTTCTATTATTCACAATAAATTTGGATTTACTTAAAATTCGTTGTTAAGTTTTGGATTGAAATTTGAATTTAATTTAATTCTAACAACAATTTTAGTTCATGTTTGATAGGAATTAAAATTCAAATATTAAAAATTCGTTGTAAAATTCAAATATTAAAAATAAATTTAATTTAATTTTAATAACAAATTTATTGTGTATTTCATTACAATTAGTATTCATTTCCTTTTGCACAGCTTTGCAAGAGTTGCATATCATAATATTTGAATTTTGCAATGAAGTATACAATAAATTTGTTATTAGAATTAAATTAAATCTGAATTTTAATATTTGAATTTACAACGAAATAAACAATAGTTAAAATTAAATTTATTTCAAATTTTAATAGCGAATTATTTTAATTAAATCCAAATTTATTGTGAGAAATAAAAGACATTTTTCAAAATTTAGTGGCCAAAATTTTACCATCTCAAAATTTAGTGGCTAAAATTCGACCACATCAAAATTTAATGAGTAATAGAACACATTTTTTCAAAATTTACTGAGCAATCAAAGACATTTTTCAAAGTTTAATGGTCAAATTCGACTATCTCAAAGTTTAAGGGCGTGACAGAACGCCAAGTGTGCATTCCGACAGTCATGTCACCAATTCCGTTAGAGATTTTAAACTGAATTTATACCAACAAGTAACGTTCAACGTTTTCCAAAATAAATTCGATATTTTAAACTTTAGTGAGCAATTGAAGATATAAACATAAATTCAGCGACCATTAGAACAATTAACTCCCAATCAACCGCACTTTTTGATGGACTCCTTTCTAATCACCTTTTGTTACAAGGTACAAAATTTGACTTAGTCCCTATTTTGTGGTCATTTTTGGAAAAAAAAAATTTATTGTTGTGAATATTGAATTTTTAAAAAATGTTTGATTAGAAAATAGAAAAAAATTGAGTTTGCATATAAATATTTTATTGTGTGATTCAAAATTAGTATGTAGAAAAAAAGAAATTTGAAAGAATGAGAGACAAACATGAACTAAAATAAATTAAGAAAAATTACAGTGGGGTTCCTAACCTATTCAAAAGGTAGCATATACGTCCCGAACCTATTATTTTGGTTGTTCTAGTCTCTATCTTTTTGTGTTGGTAACACTCGAGTTTGTAATTATATACACTTTTTTTTTTTAATAAAAAGATGATTTTACCCTTATCATTAATTAAACAAGAAAAGAAAAAACAAAATCTAATGTGAGGTTGGAGATGGGGATTGTGTGGGTTTTATTTTCCTTTATTCTTATTTGTTTTGCCTTTTGTAAAGTTGTCTGTTTAGCAAAAATTTGAGGTTGGATAATATATATGGACCCAAATGTTATAAAAATGGAAGGTTGGGGATTGAGGTTGTCACAATATTAGGTTGGGACTTACTTATATTTTCAATGGACTGGGGACCCAATCAGCCCATCTGTAATATTTGTGTCCATTAATGGACATTGGGAAGGGGTCTGGACTAAAGGACATTAGCCAATAGGTGGGTTTGAATGCTTCATTTTTCAAGGCATCTATTCTAAATTATTTTTGTAAACAATAAATAAGTCATATGCCAAGTTTGACTCCAAAATAAATTGTTTTCGTAAGTCATAGTGATAGGCCAAATAAAATAAAGAGTAATAATATTCATCCCTGGGGTTGAACTTCAATTTATGTGGTAATTATATGACGTTAAATGATAGATTCATTTAAATATAAAGTCACATGACTCATTTAATTGAGTATATCATTTAATATCATGTAATTGCCATATAGACTGGAGCTCAACCTCAGTGGAGATGAATAGTAGTATTCTAAAATAAATTATTATGGCACAATGAATTTCCCCAAGAAGGCCTATGGCACGCAGAATAATTTCGTACTTTTTAAGTAAAAATAATATATCATTGCTTGTGAGTAGGGGTGGACATGAGTTGGGTTGGATCGATTTTTGCTTCAACCCGAATCCAACCCAACATAATCGGTTTGATCAAAATTTAACACAATCCAACCCGTGTAAATGTTGAAACTCAACTCAACCCAATTAAGTATCGGTCGGGTTGAGTTGAGTTTGTCGGTTTGAGACGACTTGTCAACAAAAATTAAAATCATCCAATTTTCTATTATACTAAACTTTAATAGACAATATTAAATAGTAAGTAAATAAATAAATAAATAAAATTATCTATTATCTTATTCAATCATCATTAGCCGAGCCTAAAAAAAAGTGCATTTAACATAACATGGAAAACTTATACTACATTTCTTATGGGAAGAGCAGTAAGCTCCTCCTCTAAAATATACCAAGGTAATTACAGTTACACTATCTACTCATATTTTTTAAGTTTCTTTTACTTTTCTAAACATTTTATTTTATTTTATTTCTTTTTTTTTTAAGTGGTGGGTTAGGTTGGGTTGGGCGGTTTTATGAGTTAACCCATAACCCGACCTGACCCGACCCGTCTACACAATCAACCCACCCAACCCATGTAAAAACAATAAAAAAATCGACCCAACCCGATCGGGTTGGTTCGGTTTGGGCTGGTTCGGTCGGATTTTACCCATCCCTACTTATGAGTTTATAATGAATTTCATTATACCTTACATATACTCCACTCCACTAATTTATACAAAAAATTATAAATTAAGTATTAATCACTAATGATTATCGTAACCATGCAACCCTAATTTTTATTTATAAATATAAGATTTTGTTTTTCAATAAAATACATATAACTTTATTGATTTCTTTATTTTCTTCTATTTTTCCTTTATTTTATAACACGTTATCCGTACGAATCTTTTTTGAAAAAAAATTCTCCTCCGTTCAAAGAAAGATGCAAAACTTTAATCAATTATTCACGCTGTCTTCTTTTCCATTCAAAGAAAATGTTAGTATGCTTTTAATTTTGAATTGCATACCAAAGCGATAGATGTTATTTTGACTAAAGGACATTAGCCAATAGGTGGGTTTGATTGTTTGAATGCTTCCTTTTTCAAGGCATCTATTCTAAATTATTTTTGTAAACAATAAATCAGTCATATGCCAAATTTGACTCCAAAATACATTTTTTTTGGAAGTCATAGTGATATGTCAAATAAAATGGAGAGTAATGCTATTCATCCTTATTGGGGTTGAACTTCAATTTATGTAGTAATTACGTAGCGTTAAAATTTAAATAAAAAGTAGCATGACTCATTTAATTGAATCTATCATTTAATGTCATGTAATTGCCACATAAACTGAGGTTCAACCCTAATGGGGATGAAAGCATTATTCTAAAATAAATTATTATGGCACGCTGAATTTCCCCAAGAAGGCCTATGGATCGCAAAAGAATTTCGTAATTTTTAAGTAAAAATACTATATCATTGCTTGTGTGTTTATAATGAATTTCATTATACCTTACATATACTCCACTCCACTAATTTATACAAAAATTTATAAATTAAGTATCAATTACTGAATGATTACCGTAACTATGCAACCCTAATTTTTACCTATAAATATAAGATTTTGTTTTTCAATAAAATACATATAACTCTATTGATTTCTTTATTTTCTTCTATTTTTCCTTTAGTTTATAACATGTTATCTGCGCGAATCTTTTATCGGTTGAGGTAGGAAAAAAAAAAAAACTTCCGTTCAAAGAAAGATGCAAAACTTTAATCAATTATTCATACGATCTTCTTTTCCATTCAATGAAAATGTTAGTATGCTTTTAATTTTGAATTCCATAACAAAGTGATCGATGATATTTTGACTACACAAATTAATTATAGATATATATGTACTTGAATGTAATTTATTATTTTATACCAATATTTTAGATGAATATTGTATTATTATTTTTGAAAAAGCATCAATTTAAATCAATATCACGAAGGAATCTTGTACTATTGTCACATATCAATAATCAAGAAAAATATTATTTTGTTGTGTCTGGAGAAACAGAAGTTCACCCATACCAAAGTTAAAAAGTATATTATATTGCTCGAGGAGAAGCACAAATTGTACATACAATATTTCTAGTTCATGAAGATGCATAAAATTTAATATTATTCTAGAAAAATATGTCTCGTCGTGTTCCTGAAAAACGTTGATTAAAAGAGTGAATATTGAGCTGTTTTTCTTGAAGAAAATGAATACCATCTAATAGAAGCACAAACTTTACACATTAATATTCTTGGAGAATATTATCTTGTTTCTTCTAAAGAATCATACTTTTTATAAATCAATGTTCTTATCGTCTTGTTGCTCTAAAGAAGCATGATTTTATCAATTTAAAACATTGTATTTTTTTAATTCTTGAATAAATATAAATATATACGTGCCAATATTTTATTAACATACGACAATGGTGTTCTTGAAGTA